CAAGATCTAATCAACTTAAGATGTGTATCGACCAATGCTATATATGCCCAATATAGTACCTACTTCATTGCGTTTGGACTCTTCACAGGTATTCCTATTAGCATAGTCTCTATATTTGGCTATTTCTCTTATCGTCATATTCACGGTCAGGTCTTGCAAGACAGACAACATCGTTTGTCAAAACTGACAAAACAAATGACAAGCATGGTTATATTTCAAATATTTAATATGATTATCTTTTCAATTCCCTTTGCCATATTACAAGTTTATTTTCTAATCAGTGCCAATTGGATCAAAGATGCCTATCGTCAAACACTAGAACAACTTATCCTACTTTTTTTTAATGTCTTCTTGACTGTACTTTATGCGGTAAGATTTGTTCATCCTATATTTCACATAATATATTATAACGTATGTTCTATAGGATTCATTTTATTGCTATTGTGCAGCTTCAAAACGTTACAGAATACAAGTTTTGAATGCTTTAAAATACTTATTTGCATGTGAAAACCAAAGAAGAAATCGTGTCGTGCCAGTTGGAGAATCTCTGCATTTGACAGCAACACTTCAACAGCAAGGAACAACTGTTCATTGACAGACTTATAACTGTTGCTTTCATGTGTATCGTTGAGGATGTGGGTGTGTAATAAATATAATATCTACGATCACATCCGAATGTTTAATGCAATATACAGAAACTTTCTTTGTAGATAGTCTGATAGAAGAAAAAACTCAATCTTTCTACGGTATTTGATCGAACTGCACATGATATGACAGTTAAAGTTCATGATATAAATGAATTACAAAATAATTCTCAATCTTTATATTTATTTATATGAAAGATTTATTTGTAAGATATATAACAGTTAGTAACAGGCCATTAAAGACCTATAAACGATGTGCCATGGTCTACCAAGGTCTAGCAGTCTTTTCCTGTTATCTGTATATTTCTGCGCTCACCCACAGTAAGAGAGATGCCTTATAAGTGCATTTCTATCATCATCGTCAATTTTTTCTAGGCTGAGAGCATAGATTTTAAGAAATTGATGGTGAATTCGGATTCTTCAACTCCGAGAACGTTTGGTCAAGATCTTGAACGACTCTTTTTTCTTAAAATAGCTAATTTCTAACGTAGACCCTGATAGGTTCTAATAGAAGCTGGACTATTTTGGAAGAGATGATTGTGACAAATCTTATTAATCTTCTCATCATCCACAGTCACCCTATTTTGGTAAATTGTTTAGTCAATTTATTTAAAAGAAAATAAAGTATTTATAGATGAAAGAAACAAGCTAGGAAAGATTTCGAGAAGCTTCTTCATCTTTATTCCAGCTAATGAATAATAATAATTCTTCTTATTGACAAAAGATATCCGTTAACAAAGTAAGTTACCAGTTGATCATAAAAGACACATATGTATAACACATCGGTAGAACAGAAGCGAGAGAAAAATATAATAGAAAAAGAAAAAATAGGTCGCTATGTAACATTAACAGATAATTTTCTATCATTTGCTAAATTTTCTCCGGAATTGACTGACAATACCAATCTTTGTAAAATAGAATTGACTAGTTTGTCGAAGTATTCTTATCATGTCATCCTATTGTATACCTTTGATATAAGGTACACCAGTTGTCACATATTGTTCAATATATGAAGTATATATGCTTTTGTTTCAGGATTAATCGAAATGGATCTATCGAGTAAAAATATTCGATACATTTGAAGTGTACCTGGGCTAGTTGTATTCACTTAAGTGCTTGATGGAACTGTCCTGGTAAGATTCACAGTATGACTTGTCTAGCTCTATCCAAATGTGTATGTAGATTTCCCCTAACTCAAACTGTATGATGAGAAAAGAGAAAAGACCCATTTTTCCTATAATACATTTCAATGGATTATGGAATTTACTGGCAGTACGATTTACAAAGGTTATATATAGTTGTTTAGAAACAAAAAATCTCTTAGAAAGTTAATTGATAACTTTTATTTCGAGTTGTTTTGAAGATAAATTATGTGGGATTACGTTAAATAAGTCTAATGATCACAACGAAAAAGGAAGCTTTCTTATTTTATATGTCAAACGTTTAGTTTTCATCTGAATAGTTCATAAAAAATAGATTCATTTCGATTATTATATTCATTACACACCCACACCCTCACACTTGTCATATCTATACCGTCATCCTCACAGTCTTTCATAAGAAAACATGCTATATATAATGGGTCGCCTTGATTGACTAAAATTTATTCGAATTTATACTTGATTTAAATCTCATGACTGTACATAGAGTGGAATTTATTTAATCAAACTATAAAGTAAGTGTAGAAATTTTACATTGATATATCACTTAATCGTTCATGGTGCATAAATTATCTGTAAAATCTACGATAGTTTATCACTTTTATTATTTCTAACTTGTTTATCCATCGTTTTCATTGATAATAAGAATGTATATAAGCAGATATACAACAAATTTTTTGCTAAAATCGCATGCTTATCGTGTTAACTGTTGATGACGGCTGATCAGTGTTGAGTTTTAACATGCGTTTGATTTTGGGTATTTGTTTTCGTACTTTAATAATACCATTAGTAGGTGAATGAGCCGATTGTGGAATCCATATGAATGATAAACAAAAATATATACCCACAAGATACTGAGAAATAATTAACCAAAAAGTAGCTTGATAAAGAGTACCATGACAATATGAGATTGTAATTGTTTCATTGGTAAATTGAACATGATTGAATGCACTAAAAGTCCAGACATTGCCCAGAATGAACCAAATGAAAAGAAATAAACAGAGAAAAGCAGTGAAGATAGCAATTATACCAATAGCGTAATATTTGAATATGGTTATGTACAAAATATAAACGAAAGCGACTACATGAATGATTAAAATAAGAAGGAGAACAGTACCTTGAACAATAAGAAAGATTGGAATCTTAGGTTGTATAGGACAATTGTGTACATAACGAATACCAAAGACAAGAGATACAATAGCGACTGATAGAAGTAGAAGAAGCTGAATGTGAAATCGTTTTGACTTGTAAAGTCCAGTTGTTTTCTTTATTACTTTTTCAGGACCGAAAGGAGGTTTTTTAGGACGATGAGGTAGAGCGGCATCTATTGTCACGTTTGAATCGGCCATAATTATCAGCTAAAACAAAATATTTTTTTCAAACGAGATACAATTTTTAAATGAAAATGAAGATTATGAAAATTAGTTGTTTGATTTACTTAAAATTAGCAGTAAATAAAATAATCTCATATATAAGACTTATACATCAGCACGTTCTAAAAAATAGTAACTATTCAGATGTAATGATAAATATTTTATCTTATAACTAAAAAATAGTTTATCACAAAAAAAGAAGTATTTTAGAATAATTTTTATATAAAATATTTATGAAAATTTGAAATTTTCTTTGTAAAAATTGAACAAAAGCAACCAACAAACTTGTCTTATCTATTAATAAAAGAGTTTTTACCTGAGCAGTCGTATTAAACAAAAATTGATCGTTGAAAATTGAAGTTTAATTGTGTGTTGGTAGAATATCATGTTTAAAATACATCATTATAAGGACACTTAATTTTTCTTCTATTTCTATCGTATCGTGTATAGTTGCTTGACAACATGCGCGACTTGCATCGATAGTTTCAGACAACTATACGAATATATATATATATATATATATCGTTTTCTCTATTTTGACTCATTGATGACGAAAACAAAATTCATTGCTTAATGATGCGTAACATATTAGTAATATTTTCTTTTTATATAATTGATAGTTTATTTCAAATTAAAACTAACCTATAGACATCTATTAAAATTTTAACTATAAATATTTTATTCTAGTATATTAGATATATCATTTATGACCGACCATGTATTCTTCTACATAACTATAATATACTAAGAATCATCATTTTACAAAAAGTAAAACAATTTGTAACTCTACTAAACGAAAATTATAAATAAAAACATATAGTTTGATATAAATTAAGAAGATTACGAGTGAATTTTCTTCCTATTAACCTTATACAAGAGTATATGATTCAATGGAAAACAGTGTATTAGTCAGCCATACACTTAACTAGAAAAACTGTCGGAAACTTCAAAAACCAATATTAAATTTTCCTATAGTTTGCTAATAACTAATAAGGTCAATCATCATTTTTTTATTAAAATATCTAATGAAAATGATTGTCAATCAAGAAGCAGATGCATGTTTGAAACTTTGCTTATCAGATCTTTAAACAGATTATAGGACTTGTCTGTCGTATTTTTTTCTAAATTTTCAACAAAAAAGCTGTTTTTTTTAGCAGAAAAATGCAGGTATAAAGTATGATATGAATAATCTTTGACTCTGGAAGATACGATTTATTTATTTAATTCATCTACCGTCTGGAATTAGTTCTACAATTCGATGTGAATTGTTTCCTACTTCTAACTGTTGCTGTCATCATACAATCCTATATAATTAATTAATGGATATTCAAAATATTTTCTCCTTCAATCAGAGTTTTTTCTTTTTACTCATAAGTTACATAATTTATTAAATCAAAAAGTTTTTTTGCTTGTTTTCTTATAAAAAATAATGTTCATTTTCTACTGAATTATTGTTCTAATATGACTGTAAAACAAACTATACAGGGTGCAATAAACAGATTGGGCTTATAAAAAGTCGACCTGATTGGAGCTTTGTTGTATTATATTGTAATACTGCATACAAGAGAGATTTTTTCTTCATCGTCAGCTGGTTAGTTTTTCTTATCAAAGAATAAATATTATTGTAATCGAAAAGTAAAAGAAAACGAAAAAACGTGGTTTATACATTATTATAGTCTACTTGGTTTTCGTCACTAACATCAACAATTAAAGATAAAAACAAGCAAGTTTCTTTTGCATCGTACGTGTTGTGTTTCATTCCAGAATAATAAATATGATTTTCATAATTGCATTTGTTTTACTTCTTTATATAACTTATCGATTATATCAACATTTTTTCCCTGCACCTGACATAAATCCTCAAGGTAAATACGTTCTTATTAGTGGCTGTGACACTGGCTTTGGTAATGCATTAGCCATTGAACTTGACAAACAAGGTTTCAATGTTTTTGCGGGTATTTATAGTAATACTAGTAAAGCTACATTAACTAGTCAACTTTCATCACGAGCTACCGTCTTCGTACTTGATATTACCCAACAGCAACATATTGACAAAGCTTATGAGATGATCAAAGGAAAGACAAATACTCTTCATGCTTTGGTTAATAATGCCGGTGTTATAGCTGCTGGACATATTGATTGGATCACTGTCGAATCAATACGCCAAGTAATGGATATCAACTTTTTTGGGCATGTAGCTATGACCAAAACATTCTTACCATTACTTATTACGAAACGAGATTCACGTGTGGTGAACATTTGCTCTATAGCCGGCTTCATAAGTGTACCATCTGGTACTGCCTATTGTGCTTCTAAATACGCACTTGAATCATTCTCAGATTGTCTTCGTCGTGAAATGTTCACCTGGGGCTTGCGCGTAAGCATCATCGAGCCAGGTATCATGCGAACACCAATCATTCAAAAGCATGCTCAAGCTACCAACTATGAGAACATGCAGTTACCATCTGATGTTAAAGAAAGATGGGGCGAGGATTTTTTTGCATGTCACTTTGAAAAACTGAAACAAAATCCTCTACTTAAGTGGGCGGAAGATCCAATTAAAGTAGTGCGAGCATTACAACATGCAGTTATAAGTACAGCTCCGCATATCCGCTATAAACCTGGCTGGCAATCAAAACTTATCTATTATCCTTTATCAATGTTGCCCACCTGGTTAGCTGACATCTATTTCATCAAAACACGTAGTTCACCCATTATACCAGCTGGTATCAAGAAACAACTCAAGCAATAAACTGAACTTAATCTAATAAATACTTTTTGCATCTGTAATAAGCATATGCTTCACTTTATAAGATAAATAATTCAATAAAAAGAATGTAAAATTATCTTCATCACTGTCACTCGTTATGGAATTACTATCGATAAGAATAATTTTTTAAAGCAAAACTGGATCTCAAAACTAAATATACTGCTTGAAATACTTCTCATTCTGTGAGCACGAAAAGATTGATCGATACTATTACTTATCTGTACAGATTATAACTCATAGTGAATACATTCTTAAATGAAAAGGAAATCTATTGAATAAATTTCAATTTCAATTAGAAATAATTTCAATCAAACATATGAATAAAAGAAAAATATCTCGACACGCCGTATTATTTTCTATTATTTGTCACTACACCAAGTGCAAGACCGATGATAGATGCTAGAATAGCACTAAAGTAAACAGCATTACCTAAGCCACACATGAACATTGGAAAAAGACAATCTGAGAAGTTCCTTAAATCATTGAAATTAGAAGCATAAACTTGATATTCTTATAAGAAATAAAAAGTCGTTTTTCACATTATTATTAGAATAAGATACACGAAAAGAACAAAAAATCGATACAAAAAGTAATTATATTTAAGAATATAATTTATTTATTTTTGAGTCAACGAAGAAATTATTTATCGTCTAATATAATACAGTTCAATAAATCGAAATAGTGGAAATGCAACACCTGTAAATATAAGTCCGAATATAAAGCCAACGTCTGCACCTTGTTCACCACTACCATTTGCAATAGCTTTTGCAACTGGTCCACTAAACCAAGTTTGAGACATTCCAAGTACAATACCAACTATTCCAACGAAACTTGATAAAATTGCTGCTAAACCAATTGGTAATTTTTTACGACTATCCCAAATATTAAAATTATAATTTTTAAATGAACAACGTCGAAATATTAAATGATCTTCCAATACAATAACAGTAAATATTCCATAAAAATATAAACTTAAAGATATAAATGATGTTAATGACTCATTAAAGTTATTTGCAGCAAAAATAGCCATTAGAACGTAGATTACAGTACCAATTACTGTATATAGAAAACGTGGTACACGTTCAAATATTGGTGCAATTGCTTGTATCGATAATGAATAAGAATAAACATTTGGTATATTACATGCAACGGTTGATAATGCGAATAGAATAAGTAGAAATTTTCTAAAGCCACGGAGTGGAGAAAGACTAGCACCTAATAATCCACCTACATTATTAATTCTATAAGCATCAGCCCATTTTGAATTTGTATATGTGCCACTATATGCAGCTGCCCCAAGGAATTGTAATGGAATTACTGATATAATATTACCGATGTAAGTTAATAAAAAGATTTTTAAGTGGCTTGTGTGTTCGGGAAAATATGTATTGTAGTCAGCTGCATATGTACACCAACTGACTGAACCACCTAAGCATATCATGCCAAAATTTATAATACGAATTATTTTCTGATAATGATTTTCATTATCTGATTTAGTTTCAGCACGAAACACCTATAAAGAATGTAATTATATATGTGTATTGAGATACTTTATATCATTCATTACAGTTAACAGAAGATTCTTACTTCTATAAAGTCCCTTATAACGATAGACTTTTCGTACAGATACTTCTAAAACGAATTATATCATCGACGAAAAATAGAACTACACTTATTATTTACCACATTGCATATCCCTGAAAATCAAGTTTTTTAGTCTTCACAAATTTTACCGTTTGAGAATGAGTAAAAAATTTTGCACCAACTCCAGCTAATATACAATATGCTATAAATATTGGTATCCATGAATATCGTTCATAAGTATGGATCCACTTATAACCTACAAATGAAACGATCATTGATACGAAACTTATAATAATAATACCAACTGATAGTGGTAATGAATCATCAAATACAACACGTAACGTTTGTGCACCAGTGATACTATTAATAGCTGCCCAACCTAGAGCAGCAATAACATTAATACTTGACACCATAGAAGCACCATAATAACCCCAACTGTAACGAGAAAAGATCATTGTACGTAAACCAGATGCTGGACCAAAACAAGCCATTATTCCTGTTGGAATAAAACCAAGTAAATTGAAAATAATAATTGTTACAAATGAAGTGTACAGATCCAATTTAAATACTGCAGGACCAAGTATTCCAGTAACAAAAGTCGGTACAATTATACTCGCACCCACCTATTAAACAATGAATGAATAACTATTATTTTCTTTACTACGTATACAAATGTAATGTTTTTCAAAAATATATCAAACTATTGCTTTATTTCTCTAGAATAAGATAATCACTTTTATATGTACTCTTTCAAGAAATTTTCAAAAACTATGTCACTTCTTATTAAAACTATTCAAATAGTACATATTTTCAGTGTTCTTCTCTGAGTTTGGTAAATCAAAGACGCTGTAATTCTATACAAAATATTCTCTAAATATGGAAAGCAATTCTATCTAAAACACTTGTATCTTCATAACTTAAAAGGGAAACAAAACCATTGGAAGTCTGAAAGATAGTTTCGTTACTATTCACAGTTTGTGATAAATGAATTAAAATAAAAGCATTGAAACTATTTCAAGAGAAATGAAATTAACTGGTTACTTACATATATCATTGCTGTGTTCATAATTGTTAAATCAGTACGATCTTCTGGTGAAATACGTTCGACACCACGTTTTTCCACGTGAGGGCAGTGATATTTCTTGAAAATCTTTTGAAAATAGTTCTTAATAGAATTGTATTTCTCACACGACAAACTTGCACCAGTGCTAATATTATGATTATCGTCAGTCGTTCGAATATAATTAGGTTGAATTCCAGATTGATTGAAAGTTGAAGATATATCAGCTGACATTGGCTCTATGCGATAATTATTTCGCATTTTTAAATTGTAAATAAATGATTATGATCGTATGATTTAGAAAAAAAACGATACTGACAACGACGATTACCTTTCTATTTAATCAATAGCAATGATATATATATTTGCTGTTCGTCGTTATACTTTGTCTAATGTGTGTACTTCGTATTTCTTTTCATTTCATTATGAAGTGAATTCATTGTTTGAGCCTTTTTCTTTGTCTACACGTGACCGATCATTGTGACCTTAAGCATTATATATAACTTCGCGCATACTCTAAAAAAGAACAGCTCACAGATGTTTTCGATAACGAAATTTATAGTTGTGCCGAAGACAATGAAAATACTTTAGCAATATATCGTACCATGCGATGACTGGAAAATGAAATATATTATGCTTTAGATACCGCTTCTTTTTTTCTTTCACATCAAGAAAAATTAGATAAACATAAAAAATTTGAAATAACTCATGCATATATCTTATAATTTGACTTCCATTTTTTTTCCTCTTCGCCTTATATTACAATCGGGTTACTTTGCGATGAACTATTTAAAAAAAATTTGACTGGTGACAATTTAATAGAAACATATAGTCTGGCACGAGCCATTAAACAAAATATCTGTAAGATTGATTTTTATCGAGATTTTAATCGCTAAAATACACAGAACGCTGTATACATACCAAACGATCAAAGTTTTTTATAGATAAATTTATTTTCATCAAGAAAACATAAAGGAATAGCCTATCTGGAATATTTTGTATTTAATCTTGTTCTGTTTAACAATTAATTCTGGCTCTTGAAACTCAAATTCAAAGTACATTTGTGCAGATATTATAGGATTACTACATGTATTATATTTTTATTTTTCTTTATAATAAAGACTAAAGAATGTTTTTTGCAAATTTCAACAAAACAATTCTATCATATATAAGGGTGTGGGTGTGGCTGTGGAGTGAGGTGGGTGTCATAGTAATATTAACGTAATACCCACACTCACAACCACCACCTACACTCACACCCACATCCTATTTTCCCATTTGCCATTAAGATTGTTTTCTTATTGTTTCTAATGTGAATATTGTGCGTTTGTGATGTTTGTAATCATTAGCCATCAAGTTACGTTTAAAAATCTACTTTTTTTGTGAGTCTCTTTTGTTATAGATAGATAATGTTTTCTTCGCGCATTATTAAACTTATTGTTATAGGAAAATAACAGAGGAATTATTCTTTTTTATAATGATACAGAAAAAGTAGCAAAGACTTTTCTTTATTCTGTTCTTTGTCATATGTTGTTTAAAATAAATTAAGAGTAGAAAGTTTATTGAAAAACTGCATATATATTTATCTAATCAATTCGAGTAACAATTTCCATCTCAAGACCAGCTGATGATATTGATTTTGGACATATTGGAATCAGTTCTGGATCTTTATGAATATATTCTATGTAACCAGTACCATTACGTACTAACAGTGAACAACGTAGTGCAGGTTCAGTGTCATATATCTGCACACATTCGTGAAAAACATAGAAATCATCACCTTCTCGCAGAGTTTCTGTCATCGTGAGAGTACCATTTTCACCTGTTGAGAACGTCACATTTGCATACCAACGTCCAAATCTAGCATTAGCTGACGAACCATCTGCAAATTCTGCATGAAAATAACCTGTCATCCACTCCGGAAATGTGGCTCCCATTGGACAAACTGATGCAGATACGATAATGGGTATAAAAATGGCACCGAAAATACATTGGATAATAATATATGTATTCATTATCTAAAAAGAATACTATCGAAAAATTTTAAAAATGATAAGATCAAATTTAGCACCGAACTATATTCATAGTCTAAGTCACTAGAATATTTGAAATATAGAGATAGCTTTATTTAACAAGCGATTTACTTTTATCGGTTTTATTTTATATAAATATCTAAGATGGGATTAAATGCCATCTGGATTTTAAATAGCAAAAACAAATATCATAAGTTTTATCTTTGATTTTAATAAAAAATGAAAATCTGTATATCATTTGAAGAATATCGATGATCGAATATTGATATACAATGTCATTGGAACGAACTTTAATGTAACTACAGATCTATTCAAGATCATATTTATTTTTATTATAAAAAACTAAATCAATCTATACAAAAATATATTTTGTTTTCTTAATAATCTATTTAGTAAGTTTTCGTTTAATATCTTCTAATTCATTTTGTAAATCTAATGCAATTTTTCTTAATTCATTATTTGTTTTTGTAGTTGATTCTTCTAAAGTATCTTTGATTTCATCATTTTTCCTTGATAATATCATGTTTTCATCTTCATGATACAAGGAAGTATTTCGTACAGTCTGATAAAGAACATAATAACCTGTTTGTGGACGAACTTGTTCGAATCCTTCATTCATAGACATAACTGCTGAACGTTCTGGATTTTGTTCGTGTCCTGCTTGCATGTTGAATGGTGAAGCATTGATATGATAAGGTATACTCACAGGATCTGATGTTATATGAAGTTTTTCTAGTTGATATTTCATTAGCATCATATTAGTTTTGCTCAACAAATAACGCCATTTTCGATTTCTACTTAATTTCATTGTAATTGAACCAATTGTTTCACAAAATCCACCTAAATAAGCTTGAAATCCTAAAATAACATCAATACGAGATCTTAAATGTTCTCGTTTTGCATTAAGACGAAATTCTTTAACATCAGCTACAGCAAGACCACCCTAAACAAATTCAAATTGATCTCATCAATAAATATTCAATTAACTTACCATAATATTCATCATTACGATGAACATGGTAAAAATATATGCACTATAAAGAATAAGTGCACCTTCTGCACCTGGCATCAGTTGATTATTATCCAGGAAAAATGTACCATCAATATCATACTCACCTATACGAAAAAAAAACTTTTTCATTTTTTTTCTTCTGTTAATCAAATAGTAGTTTTTATACCAATGAACATAACTAATAGTTTTGGTATAAAATTAAAAGGTAAAAATTGTTCCATAATATCTTTACAAAGCATATAAAATGCTAAGATATAACCAATCCAAATAAATATATAAACAGCTATAAATTTGAGAAACGTTGTAAAAACAGTGATAAAAAGAAGACCATATTTTCCAAATTTAATTCCATTCATAAAAACTAATAATAATGATGTCCAAACAGAAAGAAGTCCTATACCACCGGTCATCCATTGAGCTGAACAGCGAATACCCGTTTGACGTGTACATTCGTTTATATCAACAGAATAGATTATGGCACTAACCTATAGAAAAATACAATTAGATTTTCACCAGTCATTTTTAATGTATTCAGAAGTTAACTGAATCTATACTCACATAAATATGTAATTCGATGAGATTAATATAAAAACGATGAAAATATTTTTCTCGTTGTGTAAACATTTGATAAAATTCTTTTAATAAACCTAAACAAGAGATAATTAATAAAATAAAACGAAATACACGAATTGCTGATTGATCTCGTGCTGGATGGATTGGATCATTAATCAATGTGGTACATAAAGCATTACAAGAATAATTAGCCATTTGGTAATAGTTTGTACCTTGATTCGTCGGTGTTGGTGAACCCAATGTAATACCAGTATAGAGTGCGACATACAATGATTGAAAACCAAGAATAAGAAAATAGAGAAAATTTCCAAAAAGATGAAATTTTAATTCAACACACGTTCGAACTAACTGATGATCATAAATAATTTTAGAATTTGCTTTTGCGATTAAAGCTAAATAAACATATAATCAATTTTGCAATCTTATGAAAATCAATGATAAATACTCACTTAACGGATGTTGTTTTAACCAATCTCTGGTTGAAAAATTCAATCCTCGTCCAAATATACATCGTGTTTTTTCTGGTTGAATATAGAGACAATCATCAATAATAGATAAATCAATGCCATTATTATCCACAAATTGCTCTAACAATAATGGTACTAAAGAAATACATTCAGGTGTTGTTAACATTCGTTGAATTGGTGTTTGATAAAAAAATGATGAACCTAATTGAATAAATGGTTGATTATAGTGTCGTAAAAATAATTTATATTGTTGCCGAAAGGTATATTGTTCTACTGGAATACGAACAGTGACAAATAATCGAATGACATCTTTTTTTCTTAAATATATAGCATATTCAAGCTAAAAAAAATAAATTTAAGATGAATGATTAGATTTTTATCTTGATAAGATTAAACTTACTAGATTAAAATATCGTCCACCGACATCGATTAGTAAATCTATAATGTGGGCTAATTGTTTAGTATCATTAATAAGAAACGATAAAATATCGAGTCGATTATGATTAATAGCATCTTTTAATGAATCAGCATTAATTAATTCTCGAATATCAATATGAGTATCAAGCCAAGATGAAAGAAGAAATTGTTTCACACATTTCATGTGACCTTTCCATATAGCAATATCCAATGGAGTTTTACCTGAAGAATTTTGTTCTATTATACGTTTCAAACCCTAAATATTTGTTGTAGTTTTACTTCATTACATACACATTTTAACAAATGAATGTACTTACAGTGAGTCGATCACTCGATGAATTGAGTCGTTTGAGAAGAGCAATAGCTCGATTGAGTACAATATCATTAGAATATTCACATGCATAATGAAAAACGCTCGATCTTTGATTATCAGTGACAATGATTGATCGTGGATCACATTCCATTAATAGAATTGCAGAGTTTGATGAGCCTGCTTCAATTGCTGTTAATAATGGTGTTTGTCCTCGTGAATTCGCTAGTGTACTAGCTTGTGATGTTTCATTAATTAATAGACGAAGGATATCATTATGACCTAGATGAGCAGCTAAATGGATCAATGTCCGACCACGCAAATCTTTGTAAGATGTAGGAGCAATGGTGATCCGTTCAGGGATCATAGGAATAACATGAACATCAGATTTGTTTGCTGCTGCTGCTGATGTTGATGATGATCGTTTTTGTAATGTGAGTGAGAAAAGGGAACTACGTCGACGTTTACGACTGGTTTGTGAAGAAAATCGATTAATCCGTCGAGGTGGCATGTCAAGAATCGAACTACCATCATCATCATCACTTGATTTCTCGTCAGTATCAAACGATGGAGGAACTTGAGAAGAAAATAAGGTGGATGTTGATCCTCGTTGATGAAATTGATCATTGATAGTGAAGATGGATAATTGATTCGGTAGAGATTTTTCTATTGAACGATGTGGAAGAATTACTTTAAACGAATACCGATCATTATACGGTTCATATGAAGTCATATCTATAATGAAGATGCACGTTGAATGATAAAATTATAGGCATACATATATTGTTGTCCATAAACATGAGAAAATAAAACAAACACGCATATACATTATCAATTATGTGTCACGCGTAGCAATAGGTGAATACAATAAAAGTACGAGCGTGTTGGTAAGGAAAGACAACACATATTCTCAAGTATGTCACATGGCAAATGATGCATATTTATGTATTTTATTTGATCATTTTCATGTTCAAAAATTAGTACTATCAATGGAACAATACCCGACGAATGAAGATGTTAGCGTAAAATCTACATATTATCTACTAAAATATGAAGGATGTGAGTCTATATGATCGAGAATTGACGAAGATAGACGTTGTTGGAGCAAACATGACAACCGTATAACTGACACTACATGTTTGTTACAGAGAATGATTTTTTTCCTAATGGGTAAATTCTACATGTGTATATGAATATATATATATGTGTGTGTGTTGGTACTTACGATTTTTAGTATCTGTTCTGAATGAAGAAAAAAAAATATATATAATATCCAAAGAAAAACACGACTATAAGTACACCTCTACTGTTTAAATGCATATGAAAAGGACAAGAAAGAAAAAATTATTGGAGTATAAGCACATCACTATTAAACAATAGGTATTGTTTACTAGTAATGTGTTTCTTCCTCAATAATTTTTTCTTTCTAGTCTTTCTCATATATATGTATACAGCGAAAGTGTGCTTAAACTACACTTGTATTCATAATCTAATTAGATATGATATTATGATCATCAGTTAGTTATATAATAATATTCAGATGAAGAACGACTTCGATTACAATATCAAACACCTGATTGTTGACAAAAGGACAAGATTGATATAGAATAGACAGAAACATAAATTAATATTTATAATTTTTTTTTTCTTTTTAATCGCCAACACTATGAGAAAGAGAGAACAAATTAGCAATATGAAGTATTAAGAAAATTCAAGGAACACAATAATTAATTATAAAGGTACAAATTAAGAAAAAAAACATATGACCTTGTATTTCATAATTTTGCTTATTATTTGATAAATAAAACATTTAGAAAAAAAATTAAAGACGTTTAAAATATGTTCAGTAAAAAAATCAATAAGGTTTCTCTGTCTGTCGTAAACGAATTTTTGTTTTAAAACATAAAAAATATGAGTATTATTGAAGAGATTTGGCATATTATATTCCTTAAAAGTTACAACAACTGATATAATAATAATTTAAATGAAATTATATATTCATGTTACCTAGACTCATTTTTATTTTTATCTTCGAAATAAATGCAATATCACATGTATGTTATACGAACACAGAAACGAATAGAATAGTTTTTTTTTATCTTCACAATAAGATAAAACAATAAAATCATGAGAATATAATATTCTTATTTTTTTAGAACATATATTCGACTTTATCAAGAACGTTAAATTGTGTTAAATATTAATCTATCAATGAATTTCTTTGGTGTTCTTTTTGTATCGAATTTCTTACTTGCTTCAAGCAAACAAGTAGTCATCTCAAATATTCTTCCGCGTCTAGATCGAGATGGTAAATATGTTGATGCACATGATGGTTGTTTAGTAAAATTTAACAATACTTATTTCATATATGGTACAGTTTACGGTGAATGTCATCAATCTACTACTGTTTGTGATGGTGTATGTGGTTATCTAAATAATACTTTTGCTTTATATACATCATCAGATCTTGTCAACTGGACATTAATTAATAATAATATAGTACCGGAAGTTACACAAGATCATAATTATATCAATTATTGGATGCCAAATGTCGGCTATAATGTTCATACTAAGCAATATGTAATGATTTATTGGTCGAGTAGATATGGATTTAAGAATTCTGTTATTGCACTTGCTGTTTCTTCAACACCCTATGGTCCTTTTGTAAATGTTCCACCATTGGAAATGCAAGGAGGAAAAAGAATTAGTGATACAACTAGTTTATTTGTTGATGATGATAATACAGCATATGTTCGATATAATACACGTGATGCACCTTTGAGACATATTATAGAAAAACTCTCACCAGATTGGATGACAACTACTGGGCAATTTTCTATTATTTTCGAAAAACAAGATTTTCCTTGGTATGATGGTGGTGGAACATTCAAACGAAAAGATATTTATTATACAATGTTATCATTTGATTGTTGTTTTTGTCAATGGGGTTCAGATGCACGAACATTTGCTACAACTGATATACTTGGTAATTGGACATATATTGGTCAATTAAATTATTGTGCTGATGGAAAAATTCCGCCTGATCATGTTTCCGATATGTACATAAATCCATGTTCAATCAATAATACATTTGGTACAAATTTCACAGTTCCTGCTCAACAATTTAATGTTGCTACTTTGCCAGTATCATCAGAAGAAACATTATACATGTACTATGGAGAAAGATTTCGTTCCAGTAAAGATGGAATGAAAGGTCATGATTTTCAAGCTTGGATACCAATAGAATTTACGACTAATGATACTTTATTACCTCTGAAATTCTACAGCAATTTTACGGTAAATATTCAAGAAATATTCCATACATAATCAATCATTTGATTTTCTAGATTCCTGACTTATTTATACTTACGTATATTATTTAGTTTGAAAACTCTAATTTTGTGATTCGACCTATAAACTTTTATATAAATGTATGAAACTAGACTTAATGGATGAGAGGATAATAGATTATCTTTAAATGTGAATGCATAATTACTGTTTAATCATAAATTGCTCATAATTAATAAGATAAATACCTTTACTTGATCGCACTAACAAGTATTTCAGTACATATAGTAGAGCGCATCTCTCGTTAAACAATGCCTTCATCCATAAGATCATCATCTTATATAGATATTTTTTAGTATTTAAACTAATCAAGTGAATATTTCTTTCAACTTACAATGAATCTATTATGTATCGTAGAATAACAGCAAGAACAAAATAAAAAACATAATCAATTTAAATATGATTATTAGATACTATTCTCGGTAATACATGAAAAACAATGTAAAATAAATTTAAGTTTTTCCACTTTCGATGGTGTACTACTTGCTAAAAGCCTTTAGTGAAAATCATCGTTTGAAAAATAAGCAATCATATTTATTCTTATTTATTAAAATAAAATTTTTGATAGATTCAATGATTTAATTGATTAAAAAAACAATGAAGCATAAACTAGTAATGAAACAATTAATTTTCACACGTAATAATAGAGATATTGAAAGAAAAATAAGATGTTTTGTTTTGTATAAACTTGACTACAAATTATATCGATATATCAAGTGAGTTATGAATTGGTTCGAGTTTATTAGTAGAATTTGACAGATCATATTTCAAAAACATACAATTCCTAATATTTTGACTGTCATATATTTAATATCACTTAAGATTAAATGCTGTTGAACGAGATTCAATATGACTGTTAATGGTAGATCCTATCGAAATATAGATATATTGTATGAAAATTCAAATTAAATAGTTCATACTCGAGATATATTATCAGTATTTGTGATTTAATTCAATTGATTATCGATCATATCGAATTTTAAACTATTCCTCTCTTGTTATTTTCCTCTATCTCGTTTTCATAGTTAAATAACAAATTGGTACCCGATAATCAAGATTATTGTGTACATAATATATTTTCATTTTCAGCATAAGTTGCGAACTAAGTATACATTCTACAAGTTGTCATCAAAGCAAAATTCATTTATTGTATATCAGTATAACTATGATTTAGTTAATGATCAACATATCGATAAGTAACGAAGAATTTTAGACGATCGTTTAAGACACTGCAAAGATCTCAATGTACATATCCTTTTAAACTGTTTTTTGTTTCTACAAAATACTTTAATACGGCGGTATTTAAATAAATCATTTTTTTAATTTAAAGTATCATTCGTTAGAATATCAATGGAAAAAACACAAAAATAAATTAAAGATGTCTTTTATACGATATGTTTATGTTGGATAGATTAATCATATTATATTCTTTAACTTAAGTAAAATAGTTAACTATATTGTTATTTAGACCTGAATTTAATCAAAAAATCATGTAATATTTACAAAATTACTATTCTGTATCGTTTTGCAAAAGGTTTTTCGTAATGTTTATCGAATATGATGAATCTATATCAAAAAATATATCTGATTGAGTATCGAAAATTATTTACTTTTTTTTGCATCATCAATAATAAATTTTGATGCTAAATTTCATCTTCTTAAATTGATAAAACAAGAAATCTATGTTACTAGCAAAGAAAGAGTTAAATCTTCATTAAACATAGAATTATTTTCGTAATTTTTATTGATAAAATAAAATATTTTCTTGATCTTCGATAATTTTACTTCAATAGTAAAAGTTTTGCTAATCAGTTGTTTTTAACAAGATTTTCATATTAAACATGTAGAGAAACAATTGTACATAGTGTATCTGTTTGGTACGAGTAACATGAGAACAGGTGTAATACATGAATGATCACACATATTATCATTTATAAATATAGAATGTGTGATAAAGAATCATCACATTTACAAATGCAGTCGATCACGCATAAGAACGAAAAAAAAATTTCATGGTCATCGATAACAGAGAGAAAAAGAGAAGCTTCTGTTTACGGTAAGCAATCTGGCCATGTGATACTCGAATGTATATTATGAAACGTTTAAATCCATACCAAAAAAAAAGTCGTTCAAACTAATTAAATATTTCGTTTAAAAAAACATGGATAAAGTACTCTACAATCAGTAATTCTATTCTTAGGATTAACTTCAGTATGTCTATCAATTAAATGACCTTCGAAAATTTTCATAGACTTAAAAACAAATTATTTTTTTTATTATATACGTTCAAAATAATTCTATTAAGATGCAACCAGTGATATTATCTGTAAATTAAAACAATATCATCTTTTAAAAAAAATTCAATTGATTTATAAGCATTGAAATTTATGTAGCATATTCAGAAAAAAACAATTTTTAATATTAACATTTATTTATGGATGAATGATTATATTAGATGCATCCTATAACATTAAGTAAATGTCATTCATTAAACATTATAAACAACTATATATTGTATTCATCTATAATAAAATATATAGTTTATAATTATGACATTTATATAATTCTCTTCACTAGTTTTGTTTTGAATATTAATAAAGACAAATAATAATTATAAATAGAGTAATAAAATCCATTTTTTTCGAAGTAAATATTTTGTTTTACACTCTGTTTTTATAAATAAAGACTACAGCAACATGTATCTCAGAAACAACACATGCCCATATTTAATATTGGCTTTTTGTTTATTCTGTACAGTACTCAATTTTTCTTTCTTAGAAAAGTACATTTATTTATTCATAGTCTGTTTTACAATAGCGACTGAATATGTCCGTATATTTACATATAAAAAACAAGTATAAAGAATCATTATCGTATGATAATTAATGATGAAAAATATGTATGATTGCAATACTCACTCTACGTTATCATCAGTTTCATCTTTAAATAGATTGTATATCTATTAGTTTAATATATTTTATTCTTTTATAATTTTTTTGAAAAATTGTTATGAACAATGTGGATTGTTTTATATTTTTTCTATTATATCAAAGATAAATAATAAAAAAATTCAATGGAACAGAGAGTAATTTGTTATTATCAATGCTTTTTTCTATAGGTAATATGCTTGATAGTTGATTTTTCATGATTCAGTAATCGATGTACATATTTGAAATAAATCATGCATGCAGTTATACGCATTTCAAATTTGTCGATTTATTTTATTATTGATCTTAGTAAGAACATTGAAACTAAGGTTAATACGTAGATACATCTGTTATATAAATCTGCATTTCCTACATTTCAAGAAAACATATAATCGAAGTCATTCACAATTAATTGACAGTTTCTACGATATATTATACATATTAAAAGAAAATATTCGATGTAAAAACGTACAGGTAACTTTGTTTTCTGATTTTTATAAAATATGTATTTGTTTACAGTGTATAGAATAAGATGAAGTTAGCGAAGAAATGAGTAGGATTTTTCGAATAGTAATTAATCATATAGTCACATTCATTTAAGCGCTGCTGAATGTATGTAAGTTGATACAATTAGAGGCTGTACGAAGGACTTAGAATTGGAGGTGAGAGAGCGGCAAGCAGCGCAAATTTTTTTCATTTTCTCAAGTCAGTTTTTTTTAGAAGCGGATGCTGGTGGAGATGGTAGCTTTTAGAACAGTATTAGAAAGAAAAACTCAAAAAATATATAATTCAATTAGATACAATCGATTTTTCGAGTGAGAGAGGTGTGAATTCTCCTACATCCCCTACTTTCGCGATCTCTAGACACAATAAGTATATAAAATACAAATATTGATATACAGAAAATTAAATTAAATCCTGTACGTAGATGTAATTCTGATTTTAACAACAAGAAAATGTCTTACGTTTTCGATTAAGAATAATGTATATACAAAAAATAACTATTCGTGCTTTATGCGTTATGGTTGGTAGGTTGGTATCAACATTAGTTTCTTGTAGATAATACACTTATTATTTCATAAAAAAGGTGAATTATCGACATTTCATTATTTATTTGTTTATCAACGTATAGAGAAGCATAAGAGAAAACGTGTAGTTAATAATACTTTTATTTTTCGTTATTGTAAAATATGTGTATGCGAATTTGCAGTATTCTTCGACGTTAAATGTACTAACGAACGGATAAAACCATTCAAGTAGACAGGGCTAGTTATATTTTTTTGAATAAGTGTGGGATGAATAAAAACTAGGATGAGAAAATTATAAATGATGCATATACCGATAAACAGTAAGTCAAAAATAATGTTTTCTAATGAATGTATTCTCATTTTAAAAATTAGAATAAGATATGTAGTTTTTATTAAGAATAATATGCATAACAATTAATTACCTGTATATAATGAGCAGTTGCGTATTATTTATGTGCATCTTTAATGGAAGGAGGTAATTTTGTTTTTGTGCATAAGATTGTTTTTGTCTAAGTATAATAAACTATCGAATTTCTACCATTTTAAAATCATTTTTCTACCTTATTCAAAACAAGTATTCGACTACGTAATAAATATAAAAAAATCAATTACTGATAGGCTTTTTACGTCCAAACATAAATGACTAGGCAAGAATAATGATAATATTCTTTACTGAAATAAAAAAAAATTGCTGTTGATAATAGAAAGACATGTCTAATAGATTAAAATTCGTTTTCTTTGTAGATGGAAACTTCTTCGATGGAATCAATGCCTGAATTACCACCGGATACAATGCCACTTCAGCATCAAGTCGCAGGACATTTTTATGGAAAGTCAAAAACAAAATTCGGTTTTCTTCAACAACGTTCTACTGGAGATGTTCTCAAACCATTAATAGATAAACGACGAGGACCACGTGAACAACAATTTTATGTTGATATTTTCTCTAAGGAAGCTCCAGAGAGTTTTCGTTCACTCCGACCATGTGTAACCACTCTTTTAGGCACATATGAATACGATGGTATGAATTATTTAATATTGGAAAATGTTATTCAACCATTTATTCATCCATGTGCTGCTGATATTAAAGTTGGTCGAATAACCTATGATCTTGAAGCAACTGCAGAGAAAATAGAGCGATGTCATCAAAAATTTGCACCAGTATCTGAGATTGGCTTTCAATTACTTGGTTGGCAAATCTATAATCCAACAGATAATTCCTATGAATATCGTAATAAAGTTTGTGGTCGATCATTGACCAAAGAAGAAGTTATTCATGCAATTGCTCATTTCTATGGTGCACCTAAATTAAATTACCGTCGAATTATACGATCAGTACTTGAACGTCTTACTACTCTAGAAGATGTTATGTCGAAACTATACGGTTTTGTTTTTATTGCAACATCTCTGTTGATTGTCTACGAAGGAGATCAAACAGAGAAAAACGAGGCAAAAGTTGATGTTCGACTCATTGACTTTGCTCATGTTTTCAAAGTAGAAGGTGCCCATGCTAATCAATCCGATGAAAATTTTCTTTTTGGTTTACGTTGTTATATGGATCATTTACGTAAATTACTCGATGACAAATATATATATGTGGCTCTCGACAAACTAAATCAAGTAACTCATTAAACAAATTCAATATATTAAAAACGTTTGAGTACTTGATCTTTTTGTAGAAAAATTAATCTTTCAGATCTTCGTTATAGGAAATATTCTTCTCTAGATTCATGAATGTAATATATGGGACAAATTTAATAGTACAAAATATCAATTTATGTTTACTTTCATGTAAACGTTCTGTATCAAAACCATTTTTTTAATGAGTTGCAAATCGTTTTCTTTCTTATTCTATTCATAATTTGTTTTTATTGCATATTCAAAATCAAATGAGTATGAGAAATAAGAGAAACATATTACAAAATAATGTCCTATTTTTTAATGCGCATTAAAATAATAAATTGAAATGATTTCTATATTATTTGTTGAAGAGAAAAAATATTATATTTTCATTCGTTTTGAAAAAGAAATTAAAATTTTCTTTTTAAATCTATTTTGTATTGTTACTATAGTATTATATGAAATCTATATAAGAATATTAATCCAATTTTTTTTATTTTATAGTGTGAATTTGACTATTATTTTCCATTCAATTATTTTTGTATTTCTACTACTGTGATACATCTCATTTTATTTTCATTAGACAAGATTTTTTTTCAGATTAAAAAAAACTTGTAAGGTGTATCAAGTATTGGTATCAAAATTACCTATTAATGGGGAAAGGAGGTGAGACATTTGGCATATTAATTAAAAAAAATATTTAGAGCATTTTTTTTTAAGGTCGTAATGGTTTTGGTGGTAGCAAAAAAGATCGAATTGGTAATGTATATGGAGACAAGCTAAATGATAATTTTTCACATACGAAAATCTTTCTAAGATCTTTGTCTTATTTATGGCCTCGCAATCGAATCGTTTTACGTATTCTATTAGTTCTCTCTATGTTGTGTATGATTATATCTTCAGTATGTGAAATATATGCACCCATTCCACTGCGAACAGTCATTTCAGGATTAACGCCAAATGCAACTGGATCTGCAACAAGGAAATCTATTCAATTCTCAGTGCCACATTTTATCTCATTTAGTATAGCTACATTAGGAGGAGCTGCTACTTCTCGTCTACGTGATATGTGTTTTGCTGAAGTTAGTGCTGAAACGGAACGAACTATTGGTTTAGACTCATTTCGACATTTGCAGCGTTTATCATTAGCATTTCATCAACGACGTGAAACCGGTGCCGTTTTACGAAGTATCTCTCGTGGTGCAGGCACATATTCAGCACTTATCAAATCAACAATGTTTATTCTTTTACCTATGCTCATTAAAGTCGTTGCCATTTGTATTATCTTTGCATATTTGTACGAATGGTATTATTTCACAATCATTATATGTTCTCTTATATCCTATGTACTATACTCGATGATAAGCAGTCATTGGCGAGATAAGTATCGACGTATTATGAATGAAAAAGACAATGAAAAAAACAATAGATTATTTGGTAAGAGTAAACTATTTCTTATTAATTAGCAAAGAAGAACATGTTTGAGTAGAGTAATAATAAAAACTTAATCATATTGTTATAGTATAATGAAAAAATATGCGCTCATATAAGTGAGAGAATGATATTATTATTATCACATTCACCCACACCCTCAAGATATTCACTAGAAGATATATTGTTCATAATTTTTATTTAGATACTCTATTGAACTATGAAACAATGAAGTATTTCAATGCAGAACGTCATGAAGAAAGGCGGTATGATGAAACATCTCAAGAATTTGCTTCCGCAGAGGTGACAACTCAATATGTGTATAGTATTACATCATTGGGACAGAGTCTGATCGCTTACCTTGGAATATTAATTATTTTGTGTCTAGCTGGTTACCAAGTAGTAGTGGGAAAATTAGAATTAGCTGACTTTGTTATGATTAATCAATACCTACAAACTTTATATACGCCACTAGAACAATTAGGCAAACTTTATCTAGATTTAAAACAACAAATTTTAGATGCTGAAGCAATGTTTTTTCTATTAGATGAACCTGTTGAGATTAATGACAAACCTAATGCACCAGATTTAAAAATGGCGCCCAATGAACAAGCACAAATTGAGTTTAAAAATGTATCATTTTCCTATCAGAAAAAGAAAAATGCTGCAAAAATACAAGTAATCAATGACCTATCATTTACAATCAACCCAGGCGAACGTGTAGCCATTGTTGGACCATCAGGTAATGAAATACAGAAAGTATTCTATATTTCTTTTTCAAGTTTTATTTAAAATTAAATCAAATATTCTCCTTCTTAAACATAGGATATAAAAAAATTGTATTATTATTAATTGTTTATATTATTTAAGGTGTTGGCAAATCCACTTTGGCTCGTCTCTTATATCGATTATACGATGTTGATCAGGGTGCTATTCTACTTAATGGTATAAATATTGCTAATATGAAACAAGAATCTCTTCGACGACATATTGGAATTGTATCACAAGATGTACGTATATATATAAATGTGCATTACAAATGTGATTTATATTAATTATTTACCATTCTCTTTTAGCCTGCTTTATTCAATAATACAATAGCTTATAATATTGGATATGGTTGTGCGGATCACAATGCTACATTGGAGCAAGTCATTGATGTGTCAAAGCGTGCTTCTATTCACAACTTCATTATAGCACAACCACTTGGATATGGGACACCTGTCGGTGAACGTGGCGTACGTTTATCTGGCGGAGAAAAGCAACGAGTATCAAGTAATATTTAAATACGTCTTATTTTATGAATAATAATCATAGTAACTTTTTAATAGTTGCTCGAGCTGTATTAAAAGATCCAAAGATAATGATTTTCGATGAAGCTACAAGTTCATTGGTTTGTATTGCTATTATTATTATAATATCTACTAATCTCAACTAAAAATCTAATCAGTTAATAGTTAGAGCGACTTAACCATGATTATTATTACTGTTTGCACTAAGTTTTTTAGTCATAAATATTTTTATTTTACTTTTCTCAAAGATTATAGCGATAGACAACCAGTTCTACCATATCAATGCTCGAAATGATCATTCAAGTTTAATATGTGGCTAATATCTACTTGTATAAAGATGCTTACTTAATACGAAAGTGCATCTTATATGAAATTATATGTTGGGATTACTATAAATATCATAATTCATGGCAGAGTACAAGTTTAAGTAGATTTCTGAGAGCTATGACTATGAAAACAGTTATCTAGCTGTTTTAACTTACTTTTGCTTCAATAAAACTTTATTTAAATTTTCTTCTTTCTACGTTTATAGGATTCTATAACTGAATCAGAAATTTTATTTGCTATGAATGACATTTCCAGAGGTCGTACATGTCTGACAATAGCACATCGTTTATCAACAGTCATGGATGCGGACAAGATCTTAGTTTTGAAAAAAGGTACACTTGTTGAAATGGGTACTCACGATGACCTTTTAAAGGTCGAAAATGGAGTTTATAAATCACTGTGGAATCAACAGCAACGAATTAGTGATCTTAAAAAAAGTTTGCAAGCTGCCAAGAGTCTGACTGATGATATCGAAGAAGATATAGAAATAGATCCAGATGAGCAATATGATTCGAATCAAAGTTTAATACAAAACGCAGCCAAAGAAACACCACGTATTTCATCATCTGATGATAAAAAGAAATTATCTGAATCATTTCAATCAAAAAATCGTTATAGTACATTTGGTGACAAACATGACCCTTCCACAACATCCAATAACAATAAGGACTCATCCGGCAATGCAGACTCAGAAGACTAAATAACTTAGATTACGTTTTTCTACACATGATCATACGCATGTTGAAATTTCTTTTTTTTATATTTTTACTAATCTTTGTTTATATAAATATAGTTGGATAAGTCCATTCAAATCTCATTTCATTGAACAGGACTTGAGTTGAAAGAATTATTTTGTCTTTTTTAAAAATCCCTATCGTCATTGTTCCTCGGTATCATTCAGTTTTAACAGAATATCAATTATTACAGTTATTCAAATTCTGAAAACGCCTATTGTATGTTTAATTTACGAATCAACTTAATACTCTAGAATGTACATAAATCTTTTGAAATATAACATTTAAATTATTCTAAACAATAGAATATAGTTCAAAAATAACAAATATCTAATATATTTTCTATACGATAATACTGGATATTCAAGAAATTCTGATTTCCGATAAATCTCAGTTTTGTTTGTCATAATTTTAGTATTGTATAATAGTATGAGAAAATTTCATACGAAGTAAGATAGACAATATGCTAAGGAATAGAATATGATGCACAGAAGTTATGAAACCATGTTGTTGCTTTTTTTTATTAAAGAACATGCTAAAAACTACAACTATTATAACAGATGATACTATAATCTATTCTGTATAAATTATGGAATTTAATGAGAAGAGAGAATATATAGACGATATTCGATATAGATTTTGAAATACCTTATTGTAAATCATATAATGATAGCTTTAATGCGTGACCATATTGTCTGATTCTTTGTGTTGTTCTCTTCTTCATTAACCACACGTCTACCAGACCAGATATCCATTTGAGATGGTTGTACCCATCGAGTTTTTTTCCAAAATTTATATCCGAAGAATAGAATTAGAAACACAGGAATGAGAATGTAAGAGATTGTAAAGGAAATTATGTTGAATGGTGGAAGAACTGTAGTATATCCTTGAAAGAATATGAGAAATACATTAGCTGCAAATCCGAAATAAGCACCATAGGGATACCACATTGCACGAAACGGTAGATCATTAATATTCACTCCTTGTGCTTTTAATCCGCGACGAAATTGAATATGTGTGAGACATATGACTGCCCAAACGATAAATGTAGAGACGCCAGACAGATTGATTAAATATGTATAAGCAGTACCAGCTCCACCTGGACCTTGACTGATAAAACAAATACATGCAAATAGATTACAAAAGAAAATCGCTGGCCATGGAACGCCATTGTTATTTGTTATTCCCAGAAATTTTGGTGCTCGTCCTGTTTTACCTAGATAGCAAATGGTTCGCGATGTGACATAGATAGATGACATACCAGCAGATACAACAGATAGAACAATAAGTCCATTAATGATGTGAGCAGCTGTACGAATACCAGCGTCTTGTAGAGAGATAGTTAGAGGTGATGCAGCCGTCTTTGATTGAGCAGAAAGAAGACGAGGTGAATTATAAGGAATTAATAGACCGATGAAAAAGATTGTGCCTAGATAGAAGATAACAATTCGCCAGAATACTTGTTTAATTGCTCGTGGAACAGCACGTCGTGGGTTTTGACATTCACCAGCAGTAACAGCAACCATTTCAACGCCTGCATAAAGTGTACCAGCTACAACAAATACTTGAGCTATACCATTAATTCCATCTGCAAATGAACCTGGATTTTGCCAGTAACGTGTACCAATATAGGTGCCTCCAATGACACCAACATCTATGAGAATGGCAAGAATAAAGTAAGCGAGAATCGCTAAAATCTTCATTAAACTAAGCCAAAATTCGATTTCACCATAAACGAGAACACCAACAAGCGAAAGTGCAAGAAAAATGAACCACCAAAGAATGATCCAAGCCCATTGAGGTACAACTTGAGTCCAATACATAATGACGACAGATATGGCATTATATTCGTTAGCAAGAACTGTTATCCAAAGATACCAGTAGATCCAACCTACAGCAAACGACAGTGCAGGATCACAGAATCGATCAGCAAAATCCGTAAATGCACCGCTCACGGGAATTGCAGTAGAAATCTCACCGAGTGATTGCATAACGAAAAACACAATTATTCCAGTGGCAGCAAAAGCAATCAAGGCACCTGCAGGACCAGCGTATGCTAATGCCGTACCTGAGCCGACAAGTAAGCCAGGACCAATAATTCCACCGATAGCTATCATAGTTATATGTCGACTTTTTAATTCACGTTTAAGTTTTTCATGAGATTTATCATTATCGGAAATAGTGGGGAGAATAGTAGATTGTGTTTCATGAAGTTCAATCATTTCCTGATGAGAATCTAATGGATGATCTAGATAAATATTACGAAAAAATTATTTTATTATATATTATATAAGTAATAACATGTTAGATCTTTAGCATTAGACTTGCTAATAATAAAGCATTCGCAAAATTAAGTCACTAGAAGACATTTCACAAGTTTTTTTTAAAGACTTTAGTAATTAAAACTATTCTGAGAAGAACATCTGATATATTATTAGATGTATTTTGAAGTTTTAATGGGATAGTCTGATTTCACAGGTTATTTTACCCAGAATCTTTGAAATCCTCTTTCTACGATGGTACAAATTTATTAATATCATTCTTTTCGAACGTGTCAACATTGACATTCACAAATTCTATAAAATACAATTCAACATCACATACCCATTATTAAATAGATTGTTTATCGATGGTGTACAAATATTTGATTAATAACGAATAGATCGTTGTAAATAATCAAAAGCACATCTACATATATCTACTTATCGAAATAATAAAATACATTTTCTTTTATCCTTTTTGTAGTCAATACGCACATGGTTTTCTTTCTTTCTGTGAAGTAGTTTTGTACTATTTTATTAAGTCATGTAGGAAGGAAAAAAAATAGCATGCAAGTATTACTAATGAAGTGAGATTAAATACAATAAATATCAATGATAGATCTACAGTTGATGGTTTAACATACATAATCCTTGACTACTCAAATGAATAAAAAAAACAAATGATATATTCAGAAGAATACTAATTAAATTAGATTTTTCATTGTAAAAAATATTTTTAATTTCTTATCATATAATTAGTAGCGAATAAGAAAGGTAAATATCTCATTAACAGTTATTTCACATAACATTACAATACTACTTAAAAATATACGAGCAGATAGAAAAAAAACGTTAGTATATCAAATTAACCGTAACAAAAATCATTGTTATTAAGCTGCTTTTTTGATACTTGATGATGCTGTCTGTTTCAAGAATATCTTTTAAAGCTGAAAACATACACCGCATTCCTTACAAATATTTTCTCTTATATATCCATTTATTCAACTTTCTAACTGAACAAATGCTTTGATCGTATAAAATAGAAAGAATACATTAATCGACGATAAAATAAAATCAATCGTTTCTAGTATATTATATGAAATAAAACAACATCAACAAAAGCCTTTCGAACTTAACATGACGATGATCGTCCTCTGAAAAGACTCACGTTTTAATTCTTTGGTGATCTTAGTTAACACATATTGGACTAATGTGTATACGTTGAGGGTGTTTCCAATAGCAGCATTAATAGTAAAATTAATTTTAAATAGACATATTTTTTAATCTCTTCATAATGAATATTACTGTGAACTTTCATGACACTTACACTGAATTTAAACATCAACTTCATATTGGTCGATACAATAATTTCATCAAATGGCCGCAACGAACTTAACTTAATTGATTTTTCAAATACCATTGTGACATTGTATTTAATTCTGATCCAGTAAAAAATTCCTCGTAGGAATATATAAACATGTGTATATCAAGACTATACTCTGTATTACCATAACTGTTAGTTATCAATGGTTTATTGAACGTGAACATTACTGATTCCTTGTCGTATACTTACAATGATTAGTATAATTGAAAGCATATAAGAATTCTACTTAAACGCGCGTATTGTGCTTATTTGGAATTCAATTAATACGTAAATCAACAAATCTCTATGAAAATCACCACTAATGATTATTTCCAATCAAAAGAACTTAACTATACTAATCGCGCTAAAATACAAAAGTTTGAACTTATCCATGATTTATGTATCAATAGTTCCTTAAGATAATGAGTCTTGTAAAGAAATATATTATGATACGATTCATATTTAAGCGGATGAATTATCAGTCTCTTTCGATTGAATTTACTGTTTGATGAAAAAATATATTACGCAATTACCACCGATGAGTTTATATTTCAATAGAAAGACTCAGAAGATGATATAAGCGACTATATTATACTACATAATATTTTCAAAGAAACATATCATAGTACATAACCTTAATGAAATAGAAACAAGGTCTAATACATATTAAATAACTATATTGGATGCTGATTTGTGTATCGTAAATCGTTCGTCTAGCTACAGAGAATCTAAGCAAAAATCGCAGTAATATACAATAGATATTATTAAACTTAAATGATAAGCATGAGAACGCCTATGGTTTATAGATCTAGTGATGTTCTTCTCTTTTTCTGTTCTGCACCGCAGCATAGAAAGAAAAAAATCGAATATATCTTTCATCTCTCGACTTTTCTATGTTTTTTTCTTTTTCCGTTCTTTCAAAAACAGTAAATGTGCTTAGTCATTTAGAGGAAAAGAAAAACAATGTTGTCTTTCTCTTTATATGAATGACAAAGCATGATAATGTAGGTTGTAATATGAAATAAGTGACTTTTGTGTATGCTATCAATCCATTATCTAAGGTTAGTTTTTCTAACGATCCACAGAATGTTTAGTATAAGAAGAATGAGTTTGTGTTAAATTTTTAAGTATTAAGAAAGTGACGAGTCATGTCTGTCGATGTAATCATATTATGGGTACAAGTTAGTAATCAGTTTTATTTATTTTAACCAAAATGTTACGTTTTTCTTTTCTGCTCTTTACTTATATAGTGAATGTCATTTTTATACTCACTTGATTGAAATAAAATGTACGAAAAGAATTACATATACATTTACTAACACTTTTTGATAACGAAGATGTCAAGTATTTTTTTTGATCCATCAATCATACGAGAGAAGAAAATTAAAAATGAATTTTATTTTGCAATGACTATTTCAAAGATATGTAAGATATAGTTGTTCTTAAAAATATTTAGTTTGTATGCATTAAATGAGTAATATATATTCTGTTCGATAGAGGGCGTAGTAATATAGTATAATGATACATAATATTTGTGCTACAATCTGATGTTCTTATCTTTTATCATTCATGTCGAATCATAGACAATGTTAATCTCTATAGGTTAATATGTGTAATGAATTATTTAGCAGAGAATTAATAACACTTAAAATTCTTTAACTTGCGAAACATAAGAGATATTATTATCAGTATTTTACAAAAGTATTAAATGTATTATTATTTATTCTAGTTGATCTTGGTAATATTGAACAAACATAGAGTATAAACTATAAAATATAAATGTGTTGTCACATGCAAAGACTACCTATCTTAATAACTATTTAATGAAGCAAATTAGATCAATCGTAGTTTTGCATTAATAAGTGTTTATTTTATCATTATATTTTTAATACAATGTAAGATTATTTTTAGATATAATCATTAAATCTTAACTTCTTATTATAAATTTCTCTCAAAAAAATTAAACATTAACATGTGCTCAGTAGTACGTACAGTTGCTGCTTCTAACGCTCGTGTCTTATCTTCTTTAAAGTCACCACTATATGTTGTCGTAGTTGGTGGTACAGCAGGTATTGGCCGAGCAATTGCTCTTTCAATTGGCCAACAGTGTCCATCTGCCAACATTACGATTATAGGACGAAATGAATCTGCTGCTAATTCTATATTACCACAACTAGGTTCAAATTCAAAGTTTATACGTGCCGATGTATCGCTTATGTCTGAAATTCGAAGTGCCACACAAAAAATTGATGCAGTGGATATGCTGATCTTATCACAAGGTATAGCGTCAATGGCTGGTCGTACACCAACGACAGAAAATATTGATAATAAACTAGCTTTACATTACTATGGTCGAGTATTATTCATACAAGAACTTCTACCATTACTTCGATCATCTCAAAACGGTGGTAAAGTTCTGTTTGTTTTTGATAGTATGAGAGGTAATCCATCAAAGGTTATTTGGAATGATATGGCTCTTGAAAATACATATTCTCTTATGTCGGCTGGTAACCATCCAATGGTATTTACCGATCTTGTTATACAACATTTTGCATCACAACCAGAGAACACAAATGTTACATTTACACATGCATGTCCAGGTGCAGTTAAAACACAAATAACTGATGGTTTCCCAATCTGGGCTCGATTGCCATTGAAAGGTATCATAGCAATGGGTCTTGGTATCAGTCCGGAAGATTGTGCTGAATATATGATACATGGAATGCTTGAAACGGACAAAGGGTGGAGATGTGTGGATAACAAAGGTGAAATATTATCAAAGAAAACACCAGCACAACCAGATATGATAGAAAAAGTTTGGGAACACACATCTCAATTACTTTCTTCAACACAAAAAAATCATTCTTAAGACACTTTTTAACATTTTCATAAATGTTGTTCGTATTTCATGTTAGTAATTTGATCAACATTTTATTTACTCATTATTAAAGAGTATTTTTCAACGTTTTTTTTCAAATAAAAGTTTAACAAGGCTAACTCAGGCAAGACGAAGTCACTAAAAAGGTGTGGGTGTGAATTTAGATTGAAAGTAAGGATAAAAACACATTCCACATCCACCCACCCTCATATTGTTTCAGCTTGCTATACAAAATTCTTGAAATCTTAAATTGAACAATCAATGAATTATATAATTGACAAAATATATTTTACTACTATTTTTTTTCTGAAAAATTGCTCTGGCAGATGAGTGTTGCCGGTAACCCGCACAATTTTATCAGCCCAATATCTGTTTAGTCGGAAGATATTTTTTTATTTATTATTCATTTTTTGATGACGTGATATTTTTGTTTCTAATAATAGCAAAAAAGATACAAAAAACAAAAACAACGAATGACAATATTGGCAAATTAAAATGTATTTAACCGAATAGATTGAAACCAAGCATATCATCATCGCTATCATAATCAATAGATATTGGTTCAGCGGCAAATTTAGATGGGTCTTTTATAGTATTAGCTTGTTCGAATTCAACATCCGTATCAGTAGCCAAGGCAGGTAAACGTTTAAATTCGCCAAGAATGAGATGTGGTGCTGATGCTTCGTTTAGGTAATTAATACCGAGTGAAAATGCTGCTAAACGTTGAATACCTTGAGAAATTTTTGTGCGTAATTGGTCTGGGCCAATATCAAGTATAGATGGATCAATACATGAACCTGATCCATAAACTTGATGTATTACAAGACCATAACTAAAAGGCGAAATGTTCAACATGTTAAGTAAGGTTGCTTCGCTAGGACCAACTTTATCGCCAGCTTTAATTAAATGAACATCATTAATGATTTCAATAGTGCCACGCGTAATTCTAGTTAGAATTTGAAGTGCTTGAAAAAAACTTGTTCTTTCTGGACCTAAACTTGTTACTTGAGCTCGAATAACGACATCAACAGGAGCTATAGCACCAGCACGAGCTGGAGCAGCAACTTTATTTTCCAAAAGTTTTTTGCGAATTGTAAGTAAATCCTCTTTGGTAAAAACAAAACCAATATTTCCAGAAACATGTGGTAACAATTTTTCTAAATTGACGTTTTTCGATGTTAAATCACTGATAATTTTACGCATCATTGTATTTTTGCCCATTAGAATAACAGCATGATCACGAAGAGATACACGAATTTTTTGCATTTGATGTGAGCCGACATTATCAACACCAACAACAAATACGTTCGGATATTCATGCAAATATTGTGTTAAACGCATGATATATTTTGCTTTCCATGTTAAACGATCTTCTTTCACCATTTTTCAAGTAATTATTATCCGATGTTTTAATCGCTTGGTAAGTTGTAATAAGCAACCTGTTTCGATAGTATAGTGAGAACGATTTCTACTTTGCCTTTATATATATCACGATTTATTTTATCAAAACGACAAAGGAAGCAAACCCTATGTTATCAGATGTTGCAAAACTCTACACTCTGATTTACGAAATAACATACATCATTCTTGCGCAATATTTATGATGAAGAGGTTTTGTACTGTAATGTCGTAAGTTAAAATAGAGTAGATTCTTTTATCTATTATGAAAAATTAATAATGTGTGTACACAGGAAAGATAAGAAAATTGAATTTGTTCTCGTTGGCTTGAAAGCCGGCGCTGATCTCATTGAAGTCAGGCTCTTCTTTGAAGCAAATCTTTGGACATCGGCTAGAATCACCCAAACTCTGTTGAATCTATGCCACGGATCATCTCGACACTGCTGCCATTGAGTTTAGCTAACACTCATTTCCTTCGGGAGATTACATAAGAAATTCAAAATGAAAATATATTAGTCATTGATTAATCTATGCAAGTCTCTTATTATTATTATTAAATGTTTTTTCTAAATTTTGTTGTTTATGTTAGAATTTTTTCTTGCATCAATAAGATTATATATATTGATTAACAATCTTATATAAAACGACATTTTAGGAAAATAAATTAATAGTAAACTGCGCCTATTTTATTCATCCGTTATTATTACGCATACTCATCCTGTATGACCTATGTATAGAATATTTTTATTGCATTGCGATTCTCTCTAGTCATAATTACGCACATTTATTTTAACATGAGTCTATGATCATTCGTCGTTGGAAAAATAATGATGCCTGGCGTTTATAAATATTTCTTTTACTTGATGATCTCATGCGTGTTTGTTCATTTATATGATAAAAAAAACTCGAGAAAAACAAGCAGAGATTTACGAAGTTAGATAAAGAAAAGAATTAGTATATTCAAGTTGCATATAGACTAAAAAAGTCTTTGCTGAGTATTTGTTCATTTATATTGAATAAAAAAGAAATATAAACATTGAAAAAGTCTCGAACAAAACAAAATGGATCCTACTATACCGATACCATTGATGTAAGTTCAAAAATACCATCGACATTAAATTGTTTGCTTTGCTTTTTATATAGTATCTTTGGCATTATATTTGGTATTATTTTTGTTTTTGCAATTTTTTGTTGTCGTTGTCATCATATAACTCCAGTTGAAGACACATTGAGAGGTAAGTTTTATTTTATTTAAAATCATGAATGAAAATATGTCAACGATAATCTTCTAGCCCATGGCATAGATCCTGATCTTGCTCGAGCTGGAGTTCCCGTTGTCATTGTCTATCCACATCAACAAAAGATGAATCCGCCATATACGGCTGCTCCTCCACCTTATTACTGAAATCAAATCAGTAAACATTTTCGAAAAGCAATGGTACTTTTATTAAATGTTGTAACTGTAAAAGATATGTTGACATATTTTTCCTTTTACTATAAATAAATTTAGTGTTGTGATTACTTATCAATTCGTCTTTTCTAAGTTTTCATTTGACCACCTGGAGTCCGTCCAAATCTCAACTCGGGAATATAATACATAACGTCCCTAGACGAGATGTGAGTGGTACCTCTAGCCGGCACGCACACACTCGATAAATAAATACTGATAATTATCAGAATAACTACAACAATGAATAAGCATCGATCGATCTTTATTTTCCATTACTCTTCAATCATCATGCGTCGCGATGAATTTCTTTCTTTCTTATTTCTTATCTTTTGAATCATATTAGTTTACTATCTTTTTTGTTCGACTGAAAATAAATAATATACATAGGATATTGTTGTATCAGTTTCGAAATATTGCAATCACTTTTATGAATGTTATTATTAGACATGAGTTTTACCCACGTAATTATCTTCTCCTTTAATAAATAGTTGACACTTGCATCACCCGTGAGTATGATAATCGTCGCACAGAAATGCAAATACTCTATTTATCTAACACCCACCCACACCCTAGAAACATAATACAATGATCTGAAAATTAAAGACAATAGATGATAAGCTAGTACTAAGTTCTCATTGAACGCCTGAATGTACAAAAAATTGAGCACTTTCTTTATTATATAATCACAATTATATTTAAAACATTTGAATGACTTTTATTTATGTATGCCCTCGTTATATATCGTCTACATCAACTCAATGTTCATTATTTATAATTCGGTATCATAAGTATGGCCATTGGTGAGAACATGAGCAAAAATCAAATCAAAAATTACATCGACATTCTTTTTTTTCGAGCAAAAAGGAATGGAGTAAATTGGTTCTCAGTATAAGATCAACTAAAACAAGAAATTCTTATTCTAATATGAATTAAAGGATATTGATTGTATCAGTATATTATAGAAGCAATAACTCTTATATATACATAACACTTTTATTTGGTAATTATTTTTTAAAACAATAAAATCTTCTTTATTGTACTGAGTATTTGACTATTTTAGAGTAAACTCATAAACTTAACCAATCATTTGTTTTAATTTCAGCTATTTCAAATGATGAACCACTTGATCGATTATAGAAAATATAATGACCTAGGCTTGTATTCAATGTATGATCATGATTAATAGATTGAGGATCGTAACCATCAGTCACATCCCAATAAGAATCAGTATTGAAATCATTACAAACTGTTTCGAAATCACATTGAAGAATAGCTGCTTGATTTAAAAATACGTTAGAAAGAATAATAAATATAAAAAACAACATTTTGAATGTATTCTATGTAGTATAGTTACTTACTTATATAGAAGATATTTAAGATGTTGTATGTATGTTGTAGATACGGGTATCACTTTATCTTTTCTGTATAAATAGAGATAAAGTAAATCTTTACCGTTAGTCTATAAAGAATAAAGATAAAGAATAAAGAAATTTTTTTTCTCTTAAAAATGTAAAATTTTCTCTTTTTCAGATAGATCGCCAGGCATTATAAGGACACAGGCTAAAAAAGATTCTGGAGAGAAGTTTTCTCTATGAATCTTTTATGTCTCATGTTCATTTGGTAGCATTATTTCATATGAGAATGTGGCTAGTGATAAGAAAAAATTGTGATCAAGATTACCTGTTTTTATATCAGTTATTTATCTATTTACCGATTAGCTGAAAATATTTTTTTTATTCTTTATTTTAAGTTTATTTTTGCAAATAAAGATTATCTTTATCTTTATTCTTTATTATAAAGAAAAATAAAAGTAAAGTAACACTCCTAGTTGTGCAAGAATTGTCCTTGACTCATAGAATAATAATAATACAATGAAAAGATAAGAATCTTAATTTACGTTTTTGATAACACGTCATATTTTCTTTTTTTATGCTCAAAATAATATAATGCTGATCAACTCTCATTCATATCTACATACAGTCAAATCCGCATGTAGACCGCGACAGTCTAGGGTCAAGTGAATCCAGTTTCGATGAGCGTTACTTGTTACCTAAATTGAAACTTATTAATGATTCATCCAATTCCTTATGCATGTAAATTACACACTCTTTTTCTTTGTTCTTCGTTTCGTTGTTCGAGTGAGAAGAAGAGGCATTCAATCGATTATTGAATGAAAGTAAAGCAAGCTCCATCGTTTCTAACAGTTTATTGAACGTTTTCATTTATTCTTCTATATATTATTCTTCATTTACTTGATTAACTAAACTATTCAAGTAGATTAATATGAATTTAGAGTATAATGACCTGAAATGTAATGTTGGAGTTTTTCCTTATTGTTCATATTTCTTCATTGACATATTCTATTTGATGAATAAAAACGTTTCATTTCGTTGGGATCCCGATTTTAAGCAAACTAATCCTTTTCTTTATAAATTTCATTAACATCGTTCTCAGTATACTCATATAATTATTGTTAATACTTAGATCTTGTAAATCGATTAAAATCGTATATTATATAGATCAAGTTACAAAACTAATTTTCATTCTTAATAGACAAATATAAATGTAAGATACCATTATACGTCGTGAGATAGAGTATGAAAAAGATATCATATCTATATTTTTATATTTGATAACTACTATTTTTTCTTTCTACTATCACAGAGAAAAATATCACATGATAATATCAGATATATAGTCTATGTCAGAAATATTATTAATCATATGATAGCAGCATCTAATTTATTGTATGACAGATCCCAATTTAATGTAGTATAAGAATATTCATAGAGGAAAATGTAATCATCTATTAAAGTTACTAGCTTTATATCCAATCTAATATCGAGATTAGTACACAGAGCTGCAGAATGCATATTATTTCAAAAGTATTTCCTCGCCGAAGATTGTTTTCTCTTCAGCAATATCTACAGAACATTCATAGAAATCAAAACTTTTCCTATAACAGCATTGACCCATACGAATATATTCTACACCTCTATTTATGTATGTGCCAAGCCAAACGATCGCTTGTTCTCTTTTCGGTAGTTTGCACTTTGATATTTATTCTTGCTTTCGTATTTTACCTTTTCTGTATTAGGCTACTGCATGTTTCGCGTGTTATATAAGGCTCGAAGAATATTCAGCGTCTTAATATATAAGTAGTAGATATGTTATCCATGGTTAAAAACTTTGTTAAAGGAAAGTTTCTTTTTCTAGATCGATATTAAAAACATGCGGATAATTTATACGATTATTACAACTCTTTGTCTATCTATGAGTAAGTATTTAGCCGTTTCTAAATTCATTGAGTATTATATAAAATCGAATTTTCCTTTTTACTTTATAGTACCATTAAGTACTGCTCAAAAGACGATTCAGTGGTCAGGATATGAATGGTTTTTAAAAGAAATGCAAGGTGCTGGACCTGGTAAGTATTGAATACATCAATATCAGAATGCAATGCATATTTATATAACTTATTATAGGCCCAAATGATTGGGAGTCAAACAACGTATGGGTTGATGCTGATAACAAACTACATTTAAAACTTCATAAGTCACCAACAACAGGTGGATGGACATGTGCTGAATTATATAGCAAAGTCAGATTTAGTTTTGGAACTTTTCGTTGGTTTGTCGAAGGAGCAATTGATAAGCTGGATACCAATGTTGTGTTAGGTTTATTTACATATGGAGGTATTGATGGTACAAATGAAATTGATATTGAAATGGCAAAATGGGGTCGAACAGAATCAGAAGCATCCAATCTCTTCTACACAACTTATCCACATACATTAGATGTAGCTAAACCTGTTTCATCTGGCACACGTATATCTCTTCAAGGTACATATACAACTAATCAGTTTATTTGGAATTCTTATAATATTGTTTATCAAAGTCAACAT